ATAGTTCCAAATCCCAATCTTGTGTTTTGAACTATAAACAAACACAAGTTAGTAATACAAATGTTAGAAATGAATTCCATTGCTTTATTCACTGACATTAAACCGATCAATAATTATGACATATATACGAAAACCATAAAATAAACATCGGTGAAAGTTTGTTAAAATGTAACATTCCTTTCTGTGAAACCAAAACACTACTAAGTAAATAAATATTTATAGAGCAGTAAATAGTCGTTTCACAAACAAAAATAAAACACTTTTAACAAACCTCGAGAAAGTTTATTTTTGTAATTAGAGATGATAAACAACCAGATCTGTTTAAAAATATGAAAATGTTTTTTTTATATGAAAAACTGAGATTTAAGTTTTCGGTTGAATATTTTGTGTTTATTTACGTCTTGATTATTAGTTAAGTTATACATTAGAATTTATGCGATTTGTTTAAACATTCTAGTTAATCTGACTAATAAAATAAATATATGTTGATTAACAAATAATATAACTGGCAATACAAAAGCTTAACTTTTTACACTTTTGAATCGAAAAAAAAACAAATATCTAATTTAAATCATGAGTCAGTTGAAGCTAGACCACCATTGAAAACCTGGAAGCACTGGACGGCCGTTTCATCCTGGTATGGGACTCCTCAGCAGTGCGCATCCACGATCCCGCACCACGCGGGGCTCGAACCCAGGACCTACTGGCTGACTCATGATTTAAATCTGTGAAAATTTCTAAAAATCTCCACAAACCCCTTCTGAAAATATCTAATTCACATAGTTTCTTATTTTCGTAAAATTGATTGTATTTAAGGTATAATCATCAAAGTTATATTAATTAAAGTAAATGTTTATGCATTCAGTAAACTTTATACAGAATAATCTTCTATTTTGAAAACATGTGCTAGTTTCTATTAACTAAAATTACTTTTCAACTGAAGTATAATTGTAGATTTTGATGAAATTAATATACAAGTTAGCGGATATTTAGGATTTTGGAGTTTCAATCAAATTTAGGACTGATTACATAGGGTAGAAATATATCAATAGAAAAAGTATTTTGAAAAAGTAAGTTAAGTGATAATTTACAATCTGTTTCATACGGTGTTGACTTTGAAAGTTTTAGACCTTATGAAAAGTATTTGAAAGTTTTCGTGTTTATTTTGGAGTGAATATGTCGTAATAGATTATAAAAAAATTTCATAAATTACTTTCGAACTTTCATCTATTTTAACTAAACGTATAGCTCAGTTTTACTTGGTGAACGAATCGGTCAGCATAAATTCCTACCACGGCAGTATTATGTTGACCTGTTTACTTTATATATAATTGAAAGTATCGATTTTTGCTAATATTATTGATGATATTAGAAGATAGCTTCAAAAACCAACAAAACCTTTGAAACTGAAAAATCTCACTTATTAGATTTCATTGAGTTAATTATCAGTTGGCATATCCACATATGACAATTTTTAGTTATTAGTTTAAACCATAACCAGTGGCAAGTCTGTGTATAACAGAAAGTTATCACTTTAGATTTCTTTGAGCTTAAGCTTTTATTTTACAACTGTTTGTCCTTCATTGAAAATAACTATTAGTTTTTATTTAAATAATAATAACATTCTGAATTCGAAAATTCTTTCCAGTTCCTGTCGTAAGTAAATCAATTTCTCACCTAACAAATACAAAAAGTGTTGTAAGTGATGACTGCCAACCTTGTCAGAAAATTAATGGAACATGTTATGATCTGAATAACGATGGTATACCAGATGGATGCCGATGTCCACCTGGTAGGTCGTTTATTCATAAAGGTGATCGACATGAAAACTCACGAAACATAGCTGATTCAATGAATCTTATTCAGTACAAGGATAAGTTAAAGTTTCCTTGTGAATTGAAACATAGTAAGTGTTCATTTAACTAATGAATAATTTACATATTTTGGTTTTTCAAAGTGTTTTTGTTAATAACAACTGTCCTTATTTTTACTATTTCGATTCAAAGTTAATTGACGTGTACTCAACAGTTCACAAAATTTAACCAGTGAAATTCTTTCAGGGAGTGTGAAGTGGGGAAAGTGGCTTTTTAGATTATGGCCAAACACAGAAACCATCGAGTGTTTTTCTCCGAAAAAATTCGGCAGTATTTAATACCGAAATTTCTGAGGTAAAAAAACACAATTGTCTTTTCCAGTAGTATGGTTGTCACTACTCTTGTCTTATCCATTTTATATGTTTCCCACTTTCACAAAATAATAAAATTTGATAACTACGACTAATTAAAAACACATTATTGGCATCGCTGAAAAAAATTGTTGGTTTAAATATCATGTGTATAGCCAATAAAACTAAAACAGTTAGATTGAAGACGCTTAGGATACTGAGAAAAATATCTTTAAGCAACTATTACTTATCGTTCGCTTTAGCTCTTGAAGATGTATTTCACAGTATCGTACGTCATAGTACTTTATCATCTATATCTTATTCACGGAACTAATGAAAAGATGAAAAACTACTTAAGTTCGGTATGCATAAAAAGGTATGTCAAACTGTTATCGTTCATGACATCCACTTAACTAAGTTACATAGCTCATCATTGCGATTTCAATTTACTAGCGTTTTATAATACCTTTATTAGACTAATTTACATGTATAGTTAGTTATATGATATAAGATAGTTATTTTTTAATGATAGGCTAGCGGAAACTGTAAGGTTTTCTGTGACATACACACTTGCTCAACATAATGTACAGAGTATAATTTTTCGTCCTTTTGGTATATTCAGATTCGTTTTAAATAACTTAATAGTTACCAAGAGGTTGTCTGCATTAGAACCCAAAATATTCCTAATATTTATTGGTGACAGGTTCAAATTTAGAGGTACAGTAGTTAGTGAATGGCTGATTTTAACAATATTATATTGAACCTCATGAATTGTATACGCGAGTGGAATCCAAGCATTAAGAAATAATCAACGGAATACGAAGTGATAATGTACCGGTGTTGAAATTTTATAGTTCTGAATTGGTAGCCACTCATTTGTCTGTCCGTCTATAGTGATTTTGTAAACTTACACGTGTCTGGTAAACATCATTGATGAACAAAGAGGATCCGATGCAGAAGTAACGGCACCGATCGACAAAGCAAGGATCGCATCCTTTCAGTTAAAAAACATGCAGAACTGAGAACAACTGTCAACCAACATCAAAGTCAGAATCTTCGATAGAAACATCAAGAAAGTTCTACCGTGCGGAGCTGAAACTTAAAGAACTACCAAAACCATCACCAAAAAGGTACAGGTATTTGTAAACAATTGTCTACGTAAGATACTCCAGGTCCACTGGCCGGATTCCATTAACAACAACCTACTGTGGGGGAGAGAGAACAAACTAGCTTCCAGCTGAAGACGGAGTTGAGGAAAGACGCTGGATGTGGGTAGGATATATATCTCGAAAATTATCAAACTGCATCACGAGGCAGGCGGTTACTTGGAACTATGAAGGGGAACGAAAGGGAGGAAGACTAAGGAACACATTGTATCAAGCTTTGAAACACATATCGAAAAATGTATAGTGACTGGAAACAACTGTGAAGGATTGCTCAGTATACAGTTCGATGGAGAACGCTGGTGACTAGCCTATGCTCTTCCATTCTTAGTAACAGGTGTAAGTAGCTTCATTAATGCATTTAGCATAAAAGTAAGATTCTATCTGAAATTTTTTTTGGATGTGCATGGAAATTCCTCTACCTAAACGTTTTTCAATGTAACTTGTTGCCTTGCTTTTAAATGTGGAGCTATTCTTCTTGATCTTTTCATCTGTATGTTCCGTTGATCTTTTGATTCATAGTGAGATGGTTATCATTCATGTTATTTGCTTTCTTGTTACTACAGAATATCTTTGATTCTCACGAATGAAGGTCTGATAATAAGGAATAAGTAGAATGTTAGAAGACAGATTTTTTTTCTGGAATGTCGATTGGTCATTAGTTGACGAGTAGATGACAATGGGACTCTGGGGAACAGGGAAAATACTCTCAAATTCACAAACTTTTAGCTTAGATAAGAAAAATGCTAACAGTGATCCCGGACTTATCTAAGTTGTGTCGGTTCTTCAAAGTGTTTACGGAACTTTGTCTAACCTTTGGAGACTTTTTACGAAATTATAAATTTATATATTTAAGCTGTTGTTATAATCAAGTTACCTGATGGGGTTCTAGTTTCAAACATCCACAAAACACTGTTGCATCGACCCAGTCTCCTTACATACAGCCAAAGATACTTCAAATCCATCAAACCATTCATCATTATTACATTTGGAATATTAATCGTCCCTTACCTAACAAAACTGGTGAAGGGTTATACAAATATCTGAGGTGTTTTCCTAAAATCTATTAGCTCATTGTATCGACAGTAATGAGTATGCTTCTTGACTTCTAAAACTAAATCTGCAAACCAAGCACCTAAAATCCGCAATTAAATTTCTGTAACTGAAACATTACTGCCAAGTGTAAAAAGTGAGTAGTTTCCTGATATGCTATTTTATTTAAATTAAAGCCGTACGAAGAAGGCAGTTCGATGAGACCAAATCGCCTGTAAAAATGAGACCTGGAATTGCTATTTCTAATGACGGATCTAGTATCGTTCAACCATATTCCATGCGATAAGAATAGACAATGGTTATGTGCGCTGTTAATGGATTACACCCAAACCTGTAAAACAATAGGAAATCCTATAATCTTCCTGATTAGCAACTAAAACCTTAGATCAAAAAACAACTTAAACGCAAAATATATTTCGCGCACTGCTTCAAAAGTATGTTGTAGCATAACGATAAGCACAACAACAAAAAGACACAAATGTATTGACGATTCTTATTCCAGAAAGGTCTGGATAATGAAGGATATTCGATTTCATTTTTTTCAACGAAATATGAATTCCGACTACAGTCAGTAACAACTGTCTTATTCATAACGTATCATCATGAAAAAAATAATTCCATTAACTGAAATAACCCAGATATTTATTTAAATCACCGGATACAATTACGTAAAACAATGACAATAAACTTAAAACTATAAGTAATAACTACAAATTCAGTCAGTAATTAACAAAGACCAATGAAAACAAAAGCAATACAGCTGAATAGAAACCACTGGGTCAGAGTAATTCAGCGAGAGCTTGAACAAGATCAGAGTACAATCGACATCCACGCAAAAATTCTGTTTTATCTAACCATTCATCATGATCATGCAATAAAACGGGGGTGTTTTTGATCGGCGAAAATCCAATTGCTTGTATTGGTTTGTTATTAGTAGCATGTGGAAGTAAATGATATTCTCGAACAAATCTGGCATCTGTACCACCAGGAAATATTCTCTTTTGAACTTTACTACCGTATTTTGAGCAGACACTAATTAAAGTAGCCCACCAAGGATTAGTGGATTCATCTGGGGTAATAACTGATTGTTTTAGATCAACTCCAGTATTGATGAATTCGAACTAAGTTAAAAAAAGAGGCGAATATTAGACAGAGAATATCCATTATACGGACACAATATACGGGCAAAAGTTGAATGTTATCATAAAATATCATATTACTCAATCATATGCGGTCCTTTATCCACTGGCATTCTCGAAAATGTAATATATCTCAAATTCATTATTCCGATTTTAATAACCATAACATAGAACTGTTCCAAAAGTGAGACGTACGCACAAATTTAATGGTTCAAAAAGGTATTTTTTTATGAAACCACTACATTTTTAGTTAATATCACAGGAAAAAAGAACAATAAAGGAAATAGCGTACAGATGAACCAATCAGAATCGAGAAAACGATATTTGAGTTCTTGCGCGAAATTCAAGTATGAATAGAGTTTAACCTAAATAAATTACGTAAACTGAGTAGTGGAATTACCTTTGTATGATGGTAATATCATTTAAAATGATAACAAAGAATTATTTCTTAGTGGCCCGTGGATCTGACTCCAATTAGATCGTATGGATGTTTGCTATCGCCTATTCTCGTATATCATCGTCGACTTTAATCACGTTAGTCAATAACGGAATTAAATAAGTCAAATGACGAGAATGGGATTTTGAATACATATATTTTGTATATGAGGTGAATGGAATAGAAGGAAGAGAAGCGACGCAGGGTGGAGATGGCTGGTAAGCCAACTCATTTTTAGTCAAGCGTTACCCACTATTTATAGTCAGACAAAAATAAGCTACAGGCAGTCATGGGATACGATGTGCACACACATATACGCTCATATAAAAACAATCAAGACTGACAAGCGAATAATTGACTCAAGTAGAATGAATAGATTGGTTTGTCCGAAAACTAGAATAAGATATTATGGGCTAAAAATAATAATTAACACTACAACTTCATTCACCATACAATAGTGATGACAGTTGAATGTACCGATTGCATTATTATCTCTGCGTAGATAAAATATATCACAAATCGGCCGTAATTCCCTAATTGGAAACAGTGTGAGGACTCCTGAGAATCCATTTATGTGGTTAAAAGGGTTCAGGAAGACAGATTATCTACTTCTATATGGACCAATTATTAGGTTGTTATATTATTGATTTATAAGAAAATTAGGAGACTCATCAAGTACTGTTAAATTTCTATATAAATTTCCCCCTCGGAACTATTCCATTATGGTAAATATTTTACAATTGGTTAAGAACTAGCTGAAATTTGTCACAGTTGTTTTACGCTTGTTTCTCTAATATGCTTTCACTGAGAGTACATCAAAACGAAACGGCAATACTACTACTAAATTTCTCCACAATTATAATGTAGTTTTATATGGTGTAGATGTTTATACTGTAGGTGGTGGCCGAGTGGTCTAAGGCGCTGGCTTCAGGCAGCATTCCGAAAGGGCGTGGGTTCAAATCCCACATCCATGCCCTCAAATGCCCTGGTATTGCCGAGAGCGTGGTGGGTTCGCCCTCCGTCTCGAAATACTCTCACACGGCCACGCGTATACAGCCTCTACCAGGGAAGTTCAGCTCACTGCCTTCTCGTGGTGGGGGTGTTGTTTACGAAAATTAGAGGACGAAAAGAGAATGTCCGGCGCTTTAACCGGGTCACAAACCAATGATGCACATGGGCTCCAGTATCCTGAGGGAACAAATGGCGTATGGTCACTGGCTACCATGGGACTGCATCTCCTTACGATGCTCCACTGCCTTGTGGGTTAGACCATTAGGTCAAAGGCTCGGGGTGTGGCCCCCTAAGAAAACCACCTGCTTCAGTTTGGGCACCCGGGCAGTATCACAGCCCACACACAATTAAAGAACTGAACTGTCTATGATCACGGAAACTAATTCTCTTGCTTCGACGAACATTCAAATGATTCAATTATTATTATTATTATTTACTACATCATTATTCACCCTCTTTTATTCCCACCCTGTTTATACTTATTTTTTCGACTTATACAGCAGTTCGTCTTTGGTGGAAGTTCGACTGTATCTAAACGTTCTCGAGTCACTGTCCATTTGAAAATTGTATGTTACCACCGAATACGAGAACTGAAGCAGTTTTTCTGAAACCACATGCACCATTCAAACTGGCTACCATAAACGTTCGCACACTTATGCAGGTTGGACAACAGATAGGGCTGGCTATGTCTTTGGAAAGTCTTAATATCGATGTTTGCTGTCTATCCGAGACCCGTATTCAAGACTCTGGTGAAGTACTACAAATCCGCTCTTCATCTGTCGCTTCGAAAGGCTTGTTTTACGTGCGCTTATCCGGGGACCCTGTGGCATTTTCGTCCGGTCTTGCTGGCGTTGGTGTCTCACTGAGCGCCAGAGCTGAGGCAGCACTAATCGATTGGATCCCCATCAAAACGAGAAGAAATCAGTGTGAGAAACGATGTCTTTTCGTCATCTCCGCCTATACCCCGACAGATTGCAGCCAGGATGCAATCAAGGATGAGTTTTACCACCAGTTACCTGTTCTTCTCTAGAAAGTGCGTTCGACAGATATTGTAGTACTAGCCGGAGACTTGAATGCCCAGGTCAGGCGTCTAGGCACAGAAGAGAGTCGTTTAGGTGGCCGATGGAGACTCGTTGGTCGCAGGACAGATAACGGGGACCGTCTACTGCAACTATGCACAGACCACAACCTGTTTCTGGTTAGCACTAACTTCCGATGTGCCACCTGGCGTCCTCCCTCTGCATCTCAAGCCTGGACTCAGATTGATCACATCGCAATCAGCTACCGCTGGCGTGGTTGTGTACAAGACTGCCGCTCCTTTTGGAGTACCCATCTGGACTCTGACCATGCTTTGGTCTGCGCCAATCTTACCTTACTTTTCAAAGGCCAACGAAGTGACCGCCACAGACGGATTGATATTGGCAAGCTGCTTGCAACTTCTGTTGCTAGTAAGTATCGAACCGATTTAGCCTCTAGGCTAGCTACCATTCCACCGAAAAGTATAGATGAGCATTGGTTGCAATTGCATGACGCCATGAAAATGGCGGGAACAGTCAGTTGTGGGTTCACGAAACGTCCCGCTTATAGGTACTGGGTTTCTCCAGGTTCCATACAACTCATTGAAGCCCGTCGGTCTACTCCGGGTGACCGTGAGTTCGACCACAAACGAAGGTTGTTACGTAGCGAAATTGGGCAAAGCTTGCGTAAGGACCGAGAAGCTTGGTGGTCGGAGCGTGCTAATGAGCTGGAAGCAGCAGCTGCATCTGGTAATTACCGGAAGCTCTTCCAACTCATCCGAGCCACTGGCAGCAAGAAGTCTGGTGTGAGTGAAACAATCTGCGAGGATGACGGGATGCCAATCACTAACATTCATCGACGTCTTGGACGATGGGCAGAATTATTCGAAGGGCAGTTCAACTGGCCTGCTGCTCCGGCAACATCGGTCACTGTCCTGCCCTCCATGGCCGGTGACGATTGATCCACCAAATGAGGCGGAAGTCCGCAAGGAACTCCAACTCTTGAAGCGCTACAAATCACCTGGCCCAGATGACTCACCTCCGGTTATTTTTAAAGATGGTGGTGACTTTCTGACCAAATAACTGACGACGTTGTTTACAAAGGTTTGGGAACTAGAGTGTGTACCAACGTCATGGAATGAGTCGATAGTTGTCCCTATCTTTAAAAAGGGTTCACGTCGTTCCTGTAACAACTATCGGGGGATAAATCTACTTCCGATTGCGTCCAAGCTATTGGCTTCCGTCATACTTCGTAGGTTGTTCAAAACCCGAGAAAAATTGACTCGCGAACAGCAGGCTGGGTTTCGTCCTGGTCGAGGATGCATTGATCATATCTTCACCCTCCGCCAAATGCTGGAACACCGTCATACATATCACAAGGCAACAATCGTAGTGTTTCTTGACATCAGGGCTGCCTTCGATTCGTTGGATAGGACTGTTCTCTGGGATTGTCTATTGAAAAAGGGTGTGCCTGGGAAGTTTATTAACATCCTAAAAGCCCTATATACAAACACCTTAGGCAGAATGAGAGCATATAACCACTTTTCTTCATTGTCCCATCCAAGTAGTGGGGTTAGACAGGGTTGCCCAATCTCACCATTCCTCTTCAACTTTGCCATCGTTGACATTCTGGAAAAGCTCTGATGGATGTAAGTAATGGCGGTGTGGATCTGTTGCCCGGAGAAAGACTTCTCAAGCTTGAGTATGCGGATGATATTGTGTTACTGTGCGATAATGCCCAAGCCATAGAATCCATACTTAGTCAGTTGGCAATCAATGTCCGTAGGTACGGTATAAGCTTTGCACCTTCGAAGTGCAAAGTGCTTCTACAAGACTGACAGGATTCTAATCCTGTACTCATCCTGGATGGTGAGTAGATAGAAGTAGTCAAGAAGTTTGTGTATCTGGGTAGCTCCATAATTGTTGTTGGTGGCGTGAGTGATGAGATCAATGCACGTTTAGTGAAAGCCAGAGCGGCTTATGCCAATCTGGGCCATATTTGGCGCCTTCGTGATGTTAGTATGGCCGTTCCCCCATTATGACTATGTTTATTACTACACTCCCTTAAACCAATCTCTTCATTATTGTTTTTTTTCGTTCCTCGATTTTTTTTCTTCCTAAATTCTCATTGTTTTGTGTGGCGCATATATATTTGGCGCACTCCTGTACCAATATATTTGTGTTCAAATAAATAGATAAGTAAGGTGTTTGTACACAGCAGCAGTAAAAAAAGCGATTTCAACCAATTTTTAGGCGATTCTTTTATTCTCTTAAACTTGATTACTTAGGAAACATAAAAGATACAAAAAATGTCTATTTTTGCAAACTAACTTCAATCTGTCCACCAGCATTTAATGCCCACTGATTTAATTTCTTTTTGAAGTCATCCAGTGACAATGACGGAGTTAATCTAATGTCAAATGATGCTGACAACTGTTCAGGGACAACATTATGCTGAACACCTCCATTTATCATTGTCATATTAATTGTTGTTATATCCCCCAATGTTAGTTTTCCTAGAGAGTTTTCTAACCTTAATTGTTCTTCTTTGCGGAAACTGTAAATACTGAAAATGAAAAAAAACTATATGTACGAATTTCGTCTGAATAATTTACAATATACACCACACTAGACAAAATTCATTACAGTTTAATTTTGTCTGTGCTGCTGGTTTCACTAGGAGAATAGTAGAGATTCTTACGACTACAAACCCTTCGCTCCGATCGATAATTCTTTGACTGGTAAAATGGTGCGAATCTATGAAGCGTTTTATTTACTAACAGTAAATAACAGGAAATTGGTAACTGTAAATTCTAAGTTATGAAGTTTGTCCTAATAGAAATCGAAGATTACTGGTACGCTAACGATAAAAAATGCAAGTAGATTTAGTTAGTGAGTCTGAAGTTGGACAAAAAGTATATCTTGCATCCTACTATCAGTCCCATCAACAGAAAAATAAAAGACATTCAATATATATATACATATATAATCCCTTGAAAATACGATATGGAATCAACACAAACCCAAATAAAAACATGGAAGATATTTTAAGAAGTCTTACCTATTTAAAAATATCCGGAATTTTTCAGCGGCTGTATTTTCAATTAAAGCGAGACCATGACCAGCATTACCATGAAAATGTACATTTATCCAAACTGGACGACGTTCGTCGTAAAATGCCAAATAATCTTCTGAACAACTTGGTATACCTTCATCTAAACAAAGCCCAATATTCATATCTTGAAATCTAATTTCTTCGGAATGATTATTACATTCATTATGATTCGATACAAATTGTTTCATTCCTTTTACACCACCTAACTCCTCGTCAGGTACAAAAGTCAAATAAACTGTACGACGCAACTGGTTGCATCCACGTGATTTTAATCTTCGAATAGCCTCCAACTGTTGAATACCAATTGATTTCATATCCTTCAACAAAAGAATATGAATGGCATAACAGGTTAAATAACATCTCAGGACGGAGTATTCAATGATGTATTTCAAAATTTCACAAGTAATAAACTAACTTTTCAGTCTACATTACAAACTGACGTTGATTAGACAACTATCGAAAACATCGATTCCACTCCAGTATAGGACTTCCAAGCGAACACTGATGACACTATCGGAAATCGGGCTGAAAACTTCCAGGTCTCACAATGAGTTATTGAAGTTTAGAAAACTGAGTTGGGCTCTGATGATTTACATTACTGATTTTAATCAATTCGTGATATTACTCAGTCATTTTCCAATCCGATTGGTGGACAACTTCTTCGCTCTTGGCCTGGTTGGACTCCTCTGGTTACGTCCTTACAACGAATATAGGAAAACTGTCTTTGTAAATCAGTTTCTAGTAAGATGGGGAGTATCATACTAAGATGAAACAGCTTTCCAGTGCTCCTCAGTTTTTAATAGTTAGATAACTAAGGTCAGTTCGTGACGTACAGAAGAAAATTCAAAAATCTCCACACACACACACACACCCTACACCAATATTAAAATAACAAAAAGATACATAGAGTCCGAAATTTTTCAGAAAGAGCGTCAAATGGGTGATATATGGATAGTTCATAGCAGTTTTAAAAACTTATTTTAGAATAATTTATTTTGCAATGTGATATGTACAACTGAATTTTAAAAAACATATTGACAAACTAAACTGTACATAATACTAATGTATCCTACTCCCAGCTTTAATCTACTAAGCCATGAATGTAGATATTTTGCTATGTTAGTTCATTAGCCCCAGTTAAGAAAACAGTTAAGTCTTGAGTGTTAATTTTATTAATAACACTAAAAAAGATTAAAGTAGGATAACAACTACTACGCATAAATATAATTACAATGTCCTTAAGAGTAAGGAGAAATATAACTTATCAAAAGATGGAAAAATAATAGGGAGAAAGCATCTTTAATGACACCTGGGATGAGCAAATTTTGTGAGAAAACCGTAAGTTGGAGATTGCAATAAGTGATGAGGGTGGTTTGCAACACAACATGGAAAATTGTTACCATAAATACTAGGTAAATTACACCCGTTCTGAAGTAGATTCGGAATAATAATAAATATATTTTTGTAGTATCCCAACGAGTAGAATATTGTATCTGACATTTTGTGGCCACATGAGAGTCAATTCACAAAAATATATTTATTATTCGCCTTCTGCCTAATCCTTCATTTATTTGAAACTATCGAGGTAAGGAATAGTTTTCAAGGTGTAAAATATGAACTCATCTGATTAAAACCATAGTAACACAATTTTTATTATCAGAGGGGGTTTGTTGTGGATATTATAGCAATTTTAATAGTTGAGATGATGAGTTAATTGAAACTAGACCACCATAGAAAACCTGGAAGCGCTGGACGGCCTTTTCGTTCTACTGTGTGAATCCTCAGCAGTGCGCATCCACGATCTCACCTCGCGAGATGGTGGATGTGTCGCTCAATTTCGCGGACTAGTTGGAGTTAGACATTACCACCGTTGGATGCCGGCTCAGTAGTCTAGAGGTTAAGCGCTCGCGCGCGAAACTGGTAGGTCCTGGATTCGAATTCCGCGAGGCGAGATCGTGGATGCGCACTGCTGAGGAGTCCCACAGTAGGACGAAACAGCCGTTCAGTGCTTTCAGGTTTTCCATGGTGGTCTAGCTTCAATTGACTCATGATCTCAACTATTAAACTTTTTATTGAATGAAACGTTCACTTTCAAAAGGGATGTTCTTAGTGTTTCATTTCAGAATCTAGTTTACAGACTAGAAAAAATATTAATACGCATTCACACAGTCAAAAGATTCCACAAGATTGTTAGATGGGATTATAGCCAAAATGAATAAGAAAGTTAAGGCAGACAAATTAAGTTGAGGTCCCAGTATATTAAGTCAATGGCCATAGGTTTAGGCTGTGTGTGTATGTGAAAACTACCTGGTGGGGTCTGAGCAATAATCGTGACTGATAACCGGCAGCCTTAGGTGTCATAGCTCAAGATAGGATGCAGTAGTGCAGAATGTATTCAGTATTTAAGAACAAGGAATACCTGAAGAAATAATTGTTTCCAATAACTCGATCACCAGGCTTTACAGTTCTAAATCCATAATTATTGCACTACAATCGACAAAATGAACCATGCATATATAGGTAAATTGGACAATCTTATGCGTTAATACAATAAATTTTCGCACCAGTTTCAGCTTAAATACGATTAAAGTGTGCCATTAGTCAATATATAATCCCACAGAATTTAGGTTCCAAATACTACCCCGACTGCCTTGCTGTTGATTTAGTGCGTTTTCCCGCAAGGTGCTGATATGGTATGGGAATCGGGGTTAGTGTATAATTTTGCAAGGTCCTAAGTTGATGATGACTAGTTTGACACGAGGTCGCTCGGGATTTACGGAAAATTCGCCGATTGTTTTACAAACAAATGTTAAGGTAGCAGGTTTTTCTGTTAAAGGCGAAGACTTGTATTAACGTGTAGACGACCACCCATATAACTCAAATTCCATAAGATATATAGGATTACACGAATGGTCAAACCAAGCCTGCACAGAAAAGTAGTTACTAACATGCAACAAAAATTACAGTAAAATACTTCTTATAATTACAATCATATTGATCTACTAGTTCAACTACAATAAGTTTATCATAATAACTATTTACATTTGAGTAAAAAGTGAATATTTATGCTGTTCTAGCGAACAGTATAATCATGAGATTTAATTACCTGAGTACCTCGACCGTATATTTTACCATCAGGTGTAATTGTACCACTGAATGGAGGATATGACCATTTTTCTTCGACTACTGGTACTACGTCCATATGTGAATTTAACATGATTGCTGGTAATTCCGGTTGATATCCATCCCAACGCATGATGACGATAGGATTATCTGGAACGATTTCAACGACATTGCACATGAGCTGTAATTCTTGACCCAATTTAACAAGCCACTCAACAGCAGGTCGATAGCATGGATTGGGATGAACTGTCACAAATTGTAAGTATCGAATGAAATTCTTTACGGCAATTTCATCCAAATACTGCTCATTGTTATCACTCATTGTAAAACAAAATTATATAACTATTTGTGTGAAACAGCGCTGATCATTCACCTTTAACACAACATGAAAGGAGATCATATCATCGAAGGAAACAACTACTGTAAACTATTTATAAATTTCAAGTGTAAAATCCGCGGTTAAAGAAAACAGTGTTTAATTAGTCAGTTGTTCCGCTAAACTTAAGTAAGCCTTTATGAAAATAATCATCATACTAAGCTTAAAACTGTAAACAAAATAAGATATAATACAGTAACATAAAATAACGGTTTCCAAATTGATCTCAAAGAGAATAAAAAACAAGTCTAAAAACACAGAAAGTAACAAAGGCTAGAGAAAATGTGCGTCGGCCTAAATTGCCAAGCCACATTTGCACGATGAATTGAAAGTAATAAGATGAATACCAAAGGAGTCGAAATAATAGTAGTATCAATGTTATTGACAAAGGCTAAAGATTGAAAATATGGCTCGAGAAGAAGAAACGTAAATCTATGTATGGAGAGATACTAGAACTCAAAATCTAAAGAAAAAATGGATGTGCACTATTGTCAACGATTCGAAGCCGTTTTATTCAATGTCTGAAAATACTAATATCAGTTATTTTGTGGACCCCAATCAGGTGAACTGCATCCACCACACATAGGTTAGACCAACAGTCACCTACCTCGGGTTGGTTTCACGTCTTGATTTGACCGTTCTTAGATTTATTCCGACTTAGTCTTGCTCCAGTCAATATTGAACTTCGAGGTAGAGGGTGTCTGAGTATACACAATACATGTCTCAATTACTTCAGTCGATGAGGATTCACAACCTCACGAACCGGTTGACCATCTTTGTCTAGTATCCTATTCCCAACCTCAGCATTGTTCACTCGGTCATTCCACAACATGCGAGTAGTGCTTTGAAGATACTTATGGTCAAAAGCCTGCAGCCCATTCATATCTTCTACTGTCATAGACCACGTTTCTCAGCCATAAAGTAGTGCAGAGAAGATTGGTGAGCTGCATACAGGTCCTTTGGTTTGTAGATAGTCATTTTGTGTAAACCTGAGTGACTATATTTCCCAAACTTCAACTGATATCTGCGTCAAATTTACTACTAAAACTGGACCTTCACTGCTGAAGATCTTTGGGATTAATCAGTAAGAGCCTCCAGTTCCTCCTCGCTGAAGATTAGATATAACCTATTAAATCCCAGCCAGAGTCGAGGGCCCAATTGCATCTCTCAATTAGGTTGTTTGAAAATAATAAGTAATAGTAGGCAGCGGGAGGCAGGTGAACTGTTTCCAGAAATTTCCTACCCACCAGTCTTAGCTTCTAAACAGAGGGAATGGTGGTTGTATGTTTGCGAGGTAGTCTAAAAGTGGGTCCCTTTTTCATACCTTTTTCCTTGATGAATCGGAATAGTTTTTTAGTGCTATCTGGCGCCGCTGCCTTACCAGTCTCTTTTGCTTTTTTCTCACACTATTGCTCAAGATCATTCCGTTGAAATTTCGCTCGTTTGTGTCCGAGTTGTTGCCTCTTTTTAACGCTCTTTGAGCCTGCTTAGATGAGCTTTTGAACATTTATCAATTTATTAAATAGCAACGAAATCTACTGGCTTAAATTTTCTATGCAAGTTATTGGGAGATGTCATTGATGTACTAACAAGTGTTTGGATATCATTCCAGGCTTCTTCAAGGCTAATTATTTTTCCCCGATCAACTAGGCGATAAGCTAACTCTTCCCTTGATTTGTCCTTGACGTTTTTCTTCTTCCGAACCATATTTAAGGGCTCTTCTTGTTGTGATTTTCCTACGTCCAGTAAGATGCGTTGAGATGCTTTCTCGCACTCGTGCATGATACCAGTCCAAGGATTTGTCTTGGAAGGAGCGGCAAAATTCTGTCGGGCCTCTCCAGTAACGACTGGTGAAATGATTATTTTTTTCTCAATGCTGTTCTAATGTTTGGGGTCACTAGGTTAAACAATGTCTCACTTTAGGCTTAAAGTCTGTATTTGGCAGGAATAATAAGTAGCAGGCGATCACCACTGTCCGCGTGTTCAACCGGGATACCATGAGATCCGCCTAAGTGTTTGTGCTCCATGCTCGCTGGGTGAGATCAAACGAATGATCTTGTGTTTTGTTGACATGGGATACACTGATGGGATGAAATTCTAGAAAGTTAGCTTGTGATACCTGTCTTCCGATATAAAAAACTTACTGTTGGCTTACAGTGTGTTAAACATAGCTTTCAGAAACGAAAGCTCAGAGACCTAGTAACGTAATAAAAGAATATTTATAGCCATGGAGTAAGCTTTTGTCAATGATTGTCCTGCTGAAATAAATTTTCTATTGAAGTAGTCAGCATTTCGAGGCCAAGTTTAGAAATGTAAAAGAATTTAACTAACTCAGTTATGAAATGCAGTATCTATGAGGAAACGTTATATCCCATGAATTCCTCGAGTCAACCACATTGCAGTTAGGCCTAGGTTTCTAAGTGGAGAAATCAAATTAGTTGATTTGATGCAAATTTTTGTTCAAGTGCTAACTACGATATATTTAGCGATGTACACTTAAGTGTTCCATTGTAGTGGACGCTACTCATAAGATGTCTGTAATTAGTGTGTAGTGGAACGTAGCGTCAAAGTTGCAACAATTGTCAGACGGAGTGAAGAGTTTTTGTGCATCAAAAGCACGGCGTTGGTAGAACACTTGGAAACCAGTTGAAAAGATAGTTCAGGTGGCAGGACACAGAAGGATGCAAATGGACAATTGAAAGCTATGCATGTATATTATGTAAACACTTTGTAACTTTTCGCTATGAATATACATCTTTTCTGCCTATTGTTGTGTTTTACGCTGTTTGCTTAAGTCGAATGAGAGAGTTATCGGGGTGGTCACATTAACATTAACAGACTGCACTGCCGACGTAAATAAAAGTGAATCTAAAATCTACAACAACCAACTACTTTTTTATTAAACAACTCATATTAACCAATACATACAAATAAATGATAACAAAACAAAGTTAAAAAGAATAAATGAAATTTTATTACACACCGGTTACATAGGTTTACAAAATTCAGTAATAAAGTGGATTTATCAAACTATAGGTAGCACCTCCTCTTGTTTTACCTTATCGCATGTATCAATGTTTGTCAGTTTTTCTACTGGAGTTTTTGGCTGAAAATTGGCAGATGCAAACGTTTTCCGCTTTCGAGTTTTACGTTCTGTTCGAGAGACAACCCGTTTTAACACAGGTGGTTTATACGCACAAAAGCCATAACTGTATTCAAAGTTAGATTGATTGTCACTAACAAGCATACCATGAACAATTTCACTTTCAAATGACTGAAGAACGAGAGAAGATAGGTATGACTGAAATTCAGTGATAGTAAATTTATGGAGTGGTGAACTATAATCATATAATTTTGAACTAATTTCCACATCCTCCCAACTTTCTTTTTTCTCGACTAATGAAGACTGAAATAAGAAAGCATGAATAAAGAGAGCAAATGCATTTAATATTGGGAATGCGTTCACAGCAGTATGGGACTTACTTACAAACGTTATTACTAATATTCAATTGTCTTCAGATCAAAATTGGGTAGACATGAACAAAAATTCACGACTGCTGATTAAATTATCAAAATCGCTGAGAAGCTGACTTAAACTAGTGCGATCATTATTGATGTTAGACGTAGAAAGATTCAACGGACCCAAAATATGAAAGTAAACCTGGGAAGATTTTTGACAAGTCGCACTCCATAATATATTAAAACATAATGACAGCCATTTATAGAACAATTCATCGGTTAGAAACGATAACTTGAAGAAATTTTGTAATATAGCTGTTTTTTTCTTAAATGAAGCTGTCAACAGTCGGGTTTCACTATCCAAGAACTTTAAACTGAACCCAGGCAGTCACATGAACGATTATATGAGATCACTTTTACCTCAATGTTAGAGACTAAACTGTCACTCCTAAAAATCTAATATGTAGCTTTCAAGAAATATTCAAATAATCATTAAGAAAAGAGAATTTAACGCAAATTTGCAGTCTCTCCTAGCATACTACCGTGGAAGTATAAATTAAAGGAGGGCAGAGATCTTTAAAGCACTTCCAGTGTGTTGTGGTACACCAACTGGTCATGTGATGATCAATAATCATGTGATTTATCTAAGCTCATTGTTAGAAGAATATCGATAACCAGTATGTCGAACAATGCAATCGCCTATACTTTCAATGAATATTTGTCACAAACAAGCAGTAGTTGAAGCCAATATAGAGACTACTTTAATCAATTGATCAGTACTTAACTGCAAAACATACTGCCAAAACAGGTTTCAGCTTAGCTTAGCTTATATGCTAAAGTAAATATCTTTTTACGTTTTCTTTTCCAAAGGCCAACACCTTTTAACTTTACCTGTACTGTGATCAGTAATTGTGTGAAAAAAAAGAAAAATAGGCATTACTGAACTTTACAGATTACTGAATTTTAACAAAATCATTTATCCAGACAGTGCATTGGCAGAAATTAAGTCAAGAAGTGTTTTCTTAGCTCTAGGCTTTAATCTTATTCATAGGTCTAGATACACGCCTATGAATATTTAGTAATTGTATCGGAGTAAGAACTGTGGTGTTGTTAATAAAATATAATGAACACAGAGGAATAAAGGAGGATGGCTATTAGTCTCAATCAATAAAAAAGCATTTTCATTGTTTTCGAGAGGTTAAGGCAAGTATTGATCCCAACTGTTCACAATCTGAAGGTTTATACTTTTCCAAAATATCTAAAAATTAGCCAAAGCCTATAAGATATCTGCCTGATTCCAGTTACACAGTTGTTACAGGTATGGTAGTAGTTTGAGAGTTTCACTAATCGCTCCACAGTCGGGAACGAAAAGCTGTACGATAAGACGGAAATGAACAAGTTTGTTTTAAATGTATTTAACCTTTTGTTTCGCCAGTAGAATGACAGAATAGCTTAGTATTCTGGATGTTTGGAAGGAAGCCCTTACCACCATTTTATTTCCGTTCCAATATAGCCTGCCATTTGAATCCGCATTGCAAACTAAATTATTTACATTATGACAATAGATTTTAGTCTCAACACTCTCTGATCAACCTTAATGCCACAGAAAAACTAGTGTTTCAGAGGGTCCATCATAACTGAATCACCACTAGAGAAAAATTCGACCAATGTGACTAGATAGTAGCCATAGATTAGATGAGTACAACAGAATAAAAAGCGTGTTACGAATAAAAAGTCACGAAAAATGTACAAAATATGTAGCATGAATGCACATTAAATGCAAACGCTTAGCAGTTATATGTAACAATGTGTAACAATATGTAACAAATTTTGCGATTATATACATAATGATAGAAAAAATTGAAACGGGAGATTTAATTAAGTCTTTAGAAATGCAAGGGTATGACTTACAGCTTTTGAACAATTAATAGCCATTTTATATGAAGTCTCGCATTTTTTAATGTCCATTGGAGCTGCAATGCTGCTAGTGTTATCACCAAGTGTAGGAAACTTGATGTCGATTTGTTTACAAATGTCAGAGAGATCTGATGGAATCTCATTAGATAGGCAAAACCCCAAAACTGCCAGCTCCAAAAATTTGAAACAAGATTATAAACATTATGCAACTGAAGTTATTTAACAGACAGTTGAACATATGTAATATTTTAAGGCTAATTTAATGTGCATTTCTGAGTTTACATAAATACCAGTAAAACAAAGATTTGGGTATATTACCTAACTTAAAATAATGTTTTACAAAACGTATTGCGGTTAGTTGACCAAATAAATATTCACCTACTCAGTTCTGAGACACGTCTTTGTTCTTATGAGGACTGATGAAGCTACCGGATTGACTAAGCACCTCAGTAGGTGGAATGACTTTCAAAGCTACAAGGTAAAGGTTTTCCTTTTTGACCTGATTCTGTCTGAGTGAATTAAAAAGTAATTAGCTACTACAAAGTATTTTAGAGTGCAATGCATACACACGTTTTATGGCTTAGTAAAACAGAATTTATTCAATTAAATAGTACAACAATATTGTTGTTAATACTATATATTAGTGTAAAATTCAGATTTTTACTTACGTATATAAGGCTGAATTGGAACTTGTACGACAAAACACAGTAAGACGTTGACTAATATAGTATTTTAAATAGTAGCTTCTATTATCATCCACTGCCTAAATAGGACTCATGGAGATCAAACCTGGTGAAATCAGGCTAGTTTGAAACCTGGACGTAAATATGTTAACTTGAACTTCAGTGTTCATCTGGTTTTAGAACTAAGCATACTTACCGATCTACAATGAAAGTTGCGTTTTTTGGTTTGATAGGTTGGTGTCTGATAGGATGTCAGCACAGATTCTGAAAGTTCAGTTAGCTTTCATTCACTAAGGGTCACTGGTGGAGTAGGCACTATGTCTGTCTACAAACCAAAGGACCTGTATGCAGCTCACCAATCTTCTCTGCACTACTTTATGGCTGAGAAACGTGGTCTATGACAGTAGAAGATATGAATGGGCTGCAGGCTTTTGACCATAAGTATCTTCAAAGCACTACTCGCATGTTGTGGAATGACCGAGTGAACAATGCTGAGGTTGGGAATAGGATACTAGACAAAGATGGTCAACCGGTTCGTGAGGTTGTGAATCCTCATCGACTGAAGTAATTGAGACATGTATTGTGTATACTCAGACACCCTCTACCTCGAAGTTCAATATTGACTGGAGCAAGACTAAGTCGGAATAAATCTAAGAACGGTCAAATCAAGACGTGAAACCAACCCGAGGTAGGTGACTGTTGGTCTAACCTATGTGTGGTGGATGCAGTTCACCTGATTGGGGTCCACAAAATAACTGATATTAGTATTTTCAGACATTGAATAAAACGGCTTCGAATCGTTGACAATAGTGCACATCCATTTTTTCTTTAGATTTTGAGTTCTAGTATCTCTCCATACATAGATTTACGTTTCTTCTTCTCGAGCCATATTTTCAATCTTTAGCCTTTGTCAATAACATTGATACTACTATTATTTCGACTCCTTTGGTATTCATCTTATTACTTTCAATTCATCGTGCAAATGTGGCTTGGCAATTTAGGCCGACGCACATTTGTCACAGGATCTTTGTTTGTTTTAGCTGAATGATAAAAAGGATAATCGAGGTGAAAATACGTCAGTATTTTTGAAGCTCGAAGTAGATCATTACAGCTTAACATTGTGAAAAACAATCTGCTACTAAACCTATGTTCAGGACAAATATGGAGCCTAACACTCGTATTAAAAAACTGACGTTCGACAACTAAGACTAATCAAAGTATTTTTATGAAGAAATCTAGTAATAATTGTAGTTTTTTTAACATTACTGTTAAATAGGCAGTAGTAGAGTATTTTCGAAATTTTAAGGGGAAAAATAAATATATTAAACGTAACGAAATTGAAATGGTATGATTGACAAAAGGAATTACCTTTTTTACAGGTTTAAACTTAGTTGTAACTAAGTCAGGTAGTGATCCTGTCGGTTTGATTGCCACTAATTTAATATCCAACAGATTACACAAGTTAGCCAAATGGTGACCATAATGTGATGCCAGCCAACCAGAATCAATGAAAACGCATGATATCCTCCTTCCTTGAGTTTCCTGGCTATTCTCACTTTTATTGCATACAGAACTCTCTAAACATCGAATAATCTCATTTGAACCCAGCAATATGTGAGACCTAATGATTGAAGCAATAAAATTTTGTTGGAGTAATACTATTTTCGGTGTAAAGGACAGTGTTAAAAACCATGAACTACATAACGGAGATTCAAAAGGTTACACAGCAATGAAAAGTAGTAGGTATCATCATTGTAAAACTTTGGAAACATAAATAGAAATCCCCAAATTTATTAAAATGAAAGTCATATCGAAGTATATGTATGATGAAGAAGCACGCGATACTAACCGTAAAATTAAGTTTAGTCCATATTATGTACAACGAATCAAAGGCAAATATTGTGGCACTAAACATTGAATTATTAGCAAATTCAGTACTCAAGCACATTTACCAAAACTATGTTGTAAATCATAATAGTGTAGAAATCAGGGATGACACTCGGTTACCGAAACTCGAGTTTATGAGATTATGTTCGAATTACAGGGACTGAATGATAAGTCTTCAATTCATTGAGATAATACGTCATGATTTCACGTTAAGAAAAATCTTTATTAACCACGTTGCAGTGAAGACTCCAAATATTTAGAAATGTAAGTGGTGGTTACGATTGTTAAGTACACAAATATCCGTCGTCTGATATTTCTCACTATTAATAAAATATCGTGCTACCATATATAGAATGAACATGTAATATGCCTGTCGGTGTGTCATGTAGACATCAACGAGTATCCGTAAAAAGATAACTAGGAAACAATTTGCTGGATTTAAGATTTGTTACATACACTCGTTTACTGTACAGCAAAATTAATCTTAAAACCATTCATAATGATCAGAATGATAAATACTACAAACAATCAAGGAAACCTATTCCAGTACTGAGAAATCAACAGGGAGTCAAGGAAAAACACTTTGACGACGTCGTAGAATTGCATTTATAATTTATAGGCATACAAAAGCATAAAACGAAATAAATAGATACTGGATCAGTTAGAAGATGAAAACGGTTCCCCCTCGAAATATTTCAGCTTTTTTCTTAATATCCATTCAGTCAGTCATCTACAACGTAGGACCAGGCACATATATGCATTGGTCCAAGTTGCCACACCTTATTAGCACAACAAGATGAACACAAAATTCATAGAAGCAGTTATTTCAATGGTAGTAAATAAGAGATTTCATATAAGCATATGATACAGGGAGAAAGGATTAGTTCCTAGGAAGAGATATAAAGGTATTTTTATCTTAGGGTTTAAAGGAAGACAAAAAGTGTATACACCTACGCCATTGTGATCGATCCTGAGTCATATCACTGAGAGTCTCCAACCATTGGTTACGATAGTCATGCGCACCCCAACCAAGTAGTCTGCATCTACCAACATGGCTCAGACTAGAAGTTAGTGACTTTATGGACTGATGCCACGTTTTGGTTTGGCCACCCCTAACTTTCTTCCAACCATCCCCAACGCCGGTTAGCATTGCACGTCGTGGTAATCGGTGTTCAGGCATACGCAACACGTGGCCCAATCATCTCAGTCGGCGAAAATTCACAACCTCATCAACTGATTTACCATCATTCCCTAATAACTTGCGTCTAACCTCACTACCACTTACTCAGTGTTCCCGGCAGATGCGAGCAATATTTCTAACGCATCTGTGGTCAAATATTAGTAGCTTACGAGTATCCTCTACTCTTGATAGCCACGTTTCGCAGTCGTAAAGTAGAACAGGACGAACTCCTGTGCAGTATACTCGTCTCTTAATTGATAGATAGATATCTCACCTTCGCTATAGGTGATGTAAGTTGGCAAAGGTCAAACGAGCTTTCTGAATCCGTGCAGAGATTTCGCCAGACACCAACTCATAAAGGCTGACCAGACTTCCAAGATAAGTGAAGTTGTTGACGCGTTCGACTACTTCACTCCCTATTCTTAGTTCAGGTGTTCACTCAGGCCAGTCCTGAAGCAACAATTCACATTTAGAGAAAAAGGAACGCATCCCAAACATCTTGGCACTGGTGCTCAATGCTACCAAAAGACTGCATTTTATCAGCGTCATCACCAAACACGAATATTTCATATGTGTATTCCAAGTCAATAAATGGACCTCCTGGTAGGGGACCAATTCTCGAAAATTCAGTCGACGAAAATGTCATTTCCAGCAGTAGGTCTATGATGAAATCGAACAAAAATGGAGATAGTGGGCCAGCCTAGTTTTCTCGTCTTTGCAGTTCACGAGTCTTTGTTAGGCACCCGATAATTATTGATGCTAGTATTGTGCACGCTATATTAGTTAAACTAATCCCTCTATAGTCATCACAGGAAGATTTTGATCCCTTCTTATATATTGAGACGATCAGTGATTGGTATCAGTTAGATGGGATTACATCCAGATCCCAGATTTTAGCTAAAATATTAGTCAAACCAATCGCTAAAACTGGACCACCATGCTTAAAGACTTCTGCAGTTAATCCATCTGGACCGGCTGCTCTTCCTCGTTTCAGATTACCTATAGCACTTTGGACCTCGATTAGAGTCGAGGGGTCCATTTCAATGTTCCATTCAGACTGTTTGGGAATGATCGGTAGTTGTACAGTAGCTGAACTGATCCTTAAAGTGCTCCGCCCATCGTTCTCAACGTCTAGACTGAGAGCAGCTAAGAGTGCCATCTTTTTCCTAGATCGCCTCACATTTAAATTGTTAATTCCGGTTTCTTTTATTAGTCTGAAAAGCTGTCTTGTGTTACCCGAAACCGCTGCCTTTTCTATCTCTCTTGCTTTCGTTGCGCACTACTGCTTACGATCGTTACGTAGACTTTTGGTTAGTCAGTCAGTCAGTCCCAACGTAGGACCAGGCACATATGTGCATCGGTCTTAGATTTGATTTATTTCCGCTCCTCATCGTGTTTGGAGCCTGAACGGGTAAGTTCATGAGTCTATCGATGCAATAGATATCGCAGAAACCCACTGGTTTTTCGTAACTCTTTGGTTCAAATCACTAACAGATGTCGCTGTTGTTCGTATATCTTCCCAAGTAACATCTAGGTCAGCCTCTCTTTCGAAATGGCCTAAGTGTGACTTCATTTGTTCCTTGAACTTACCTTTGGCTTTCTCATCGTTGAGTTCAATTTTAATGGGTCTTCTTGATTGCGACTTTTCTACGTCTAGTGGAGTGCAAGTAAATACGTAATCTCATTAGAGCATGATTATAGTCTAAACATGTATTCCAGAACGAGCAGCAGTTTCCTACTGAGCCTCTCCAACGATGACTGATGGCAATATGGTCTATTTGAGTTTTTATGCTTAAAGTTAGAGCTCGTTGGAAATAAACGATCATTTGGGCACAGTTGCAGCAGACAGTCATCATTATCTGTTGACTGAGTCGGAGTACCAAAATGTCAACCTAAATGTTTTTCTGTTTGGTTTAAGCTACCTATGTGGGCATTAAAGTCACCTGCAACGAACACTATGTGTGAGTGTTTAATATGCACTGAAATAGGTCCACAGAACCAACTTTAAAATACAATCAGCACTTTAAATTTTGGTTAAGTGGCTTTAATTTGAGCTACCGAAGTATTACTTCATGTTAAACAATATACAACTTCGTTTAGTCCTCATAACTTAACGCTCGAAGCAATAAAACTATGGATATAATAACCGTAACATTGAATGAAAACACAGTGTAATAATATAAATATGCTACAAGTTTGGCGGTTTAAATTGCTACACTATCCCCCAAATTCCCTGGTACGGCTGAGAGTGGGGAGTCAGTTCTCTTTCTCGAAGTGCTCCCATATGGCCACGTGCATACAACCAATGCCTTTTTGCGGTGGGGGTGTTATTTACAAATTTGAGAGGAAAAAAGAGAATGTCCGGCGCTCTAACCGGGTTGGTGGATACGGAGGATCCACCTAGGAGAATTGGTAAACCTGATTCCAAACGAACGGTGCACATGGGCTCCAGGATCTCGATTGAACGAATGGCATATGAACCTACTACTGGTCACCGGCTACCATGAGACTGCATCTCCGTACGCTGCTCCACTGAGCTCTGATGTACTAATAGTGGATGGCGACTTTAATGCTCAAGTAGGTAAACTAAGCGGAAAGGAAAGACCTGGGTGGATCTTATGGAGTCGTGGCTCTAAGAACAGATAATGGCGACCACCTGTTGCAGCTATGCTGAGATAACCGCCTGTTTCCAGCAAGCACTAACTTTAAGCATAAGGAGAAATATCTTTTGACAAGGCGACCCTCGAATTCGTCACAACGTTGGACCCAAATAGATCACATCGCTATCAACCACAGATGAGGTAGCTCGATAGAAGACTTTCGCTCGTTCTGGAGCACATGCTTAGATTCAAACTATGCTCTAGTGAGAGCGCGCATTTGTCTGCATCTTACTGGACGTAGGAAAGACGCTGCCAGGAAACCTCTCAGAGCTCTACTTAATAATTACCAAGCTAAGAATATATTTCAGGAACCACCAGAAAAGGTTAGGCAGCCATTTAAGTGATGCCCACCCCGAGGTAGCTTGGAATGATATCCGAAAAACTGTGAAAACAGCAGTGATATCTGCTAGTAAGGTAAATCATAAGGTTATGGAGAAACACTGAATCTCAGTAGCATCTACCACACTGATAGATACTCGGAAACTCATCCCATCAGGCTCTGAACATGACGAAGAGTGGAGTCAGCTTAAGCGCAGGCTGACAAGTAACCTATGCAATGGTCGCGAACAGTGGTGGGTAGAGAAAGCAAGAGAGATGAGAAAGGCAGCGGCGATAAGCAACAACAGACAACTGTTCAAACTTGTCAAGGAAGCCGGTATTAGGAAACCAACTATTAGTGAAACCATCTCCAAGAAAGATGGACACACTGTTTATTCTCGATCCAGGAGATTGGATCGATGGGCAGAACACTTTATGGATCAGTTCAACTGGCCTTCAGCCACACTTTGGTTTCCCATAATCTTCAGTTGACCTGAATGGCAAGTTAATGTAAGTCCTCCAACCCTTTACGTGGTTGAAAAAGCTATAGAAAATCTGAAGCGAGGGAGAGCAGCAGGCCCTGACAGGTTTACCCCTGAGATTTTCAAATATGGTGTTCCTGTATTAGCAGTAACATTGACTGAGGTCTTAGGTAGAATCTGGGAACTGGACGTAATCCCATCTGACTGGTCTCAATCACTGATTGTGCCAGTCTATAAAAAAGGACAAAAGTCCTTTTGTGACAATCACAGGAATCAGTTTGGCTAATATAGTGTCTAAAATCTTAGCGTCAATAATACTTCGACGCCTAACTAAAACTTATGAAGAGCAGACTAGAGAAAACCAAACTGGTTTCCAACCTTACTTTACTTACTTACACCTGTTAATCCTCGTGAAGGAGCATAGGTCGCTCACCAGCATTCTCCATCCAACCCTGTCTTGGGCAATCCTTTCCTGTTGTTATTGATCCCTTTCATGTCTGCTTCTATTTCCCGACGTAATGTGTTCTTTGGCCTTCCTCTTATTCGCTTCCCTTCAGGATTCCAAGTTAGGGCTTGCCTCGTGATGAGGTTTGGTGATTCGCGTAATGTATGTCCTATCCATTCCCAACGTCTTTTCCTCTTCCGCTGTAAACTGATTTGTTCTCTCCAACAGAAAGCTGTTGTTGATGCTATCCGGTCAATGGATGTTGAGTATTTTGCGTAGACAGCTATTTATAAATACTTGTAACCTCTTGATAATGGTTGTTGTAGTTCTCTAAGTTCCAGCTCCGCACAGTAGAACTGCCTTGACGTTCGTGTTGAAGATTCTGACTTTGGTATCGGTCGAAAGTTGTTTTGAGTTCCATATGTTCTTTAACTGTATGAATGCGCCCATTGCTTTGCTAATCCTCGCCTTTGCGTCTTCATCTGATCCTCCTTGTTCATCGATGATGATTCCCAGGTATGTGAAGGATTCTACATCTTCCAGAGTTTCGCCATCAAGTATGACTGGATTGTTGTTCTCCGTGTTGTATTTGAGGATCTTGGTTTTCACCTTGTGTATGTTGAGGCCTACTGATGCAGAGACTGCTGCTACACTAGCTGTCTTTATCTGTATTTGTTCGTGTGTATGAGATAGGAGGGCCAGGTCATCTGCAAAGTCCAAATCGTCTAATTGATTTTGAGCTGTCCATTGTATTCCGTTCATTCCCACAGAGGTTGGAAGAAAGCTAAGAGCAGCCAGACCAAAACATGGCACAAATCCATGAAGTCACTGACAAGTGGACTGAGCCATGTTGGTATGTGTAGGCTACCTGGTTGGGATCCGCAAGACGATAGCAACCGATGGTTAGAGACGTTGAATGATATGGCTCCAAATCGTTTGCAATGGCGCAGATGCATCCACTCTTTGTGTTCTCCCAAATTCTAATCTTTTGAATTATTCATGTCCTTTTTTCTCTTTCCAAATTTATTTCACTGGATTATACTCCTTGAATAACATCTTCAAACCCTAATCTTCCCGATTACTGCTTATACTCTTATTACCTCTACCACTATGCGGTTTGAATCGACAATTGTATCTCTGTAATAATGTGGTATGGCAACTTGAACTGATGTACGTACATGCGAAGTTGTACATTGTTGCTGACTGCTCCACTGCCTTGTAGATTAGACCTTTGAGTCAAAGGCTCAAGGAGTGGCCCCCTAAGAAAACCACCTGCTTCGGTTTGGGCAACCGAGAAGTATCCCAATCCTTACGCAAATCGAATGATTTATGTGGAGCATATCTATTTGGTGTCTCCTTGTGCCAATGTATCTGTTTAAATAATAAAACAACTACATGAAGAAATCAACAGAAATTAGAAAATGTGCTAAAATAAACAAGAGTATAGAATAAATCGTATAATAAAATGACAAACAGTCAGTAGATAAACGGTGAAGGCATTCTAACCAGTAGTATCGCTTTTTCGCTAATTCACTAAAAGCAGACTTCTAACATTTTGAAGACCCAATTGACACATACCCTTCTTATATTCATTTACTTCACGCGCTTCCGTCTTGTTCTAAAGTAGCTCTTCAAATTTAATTTTAATTTAGCTAGCACCAGACATACCGAGATAGGTGTTTTAATATGAATAACATTTAAAGCCCTTGCCTAAGCTAGTACAAGTTTACAATCACACAAACTGATTTACTTTTCCCACCCATATATATAGATCTTACCCTGTAATTCGGTTTATGATGTTATCGCCTACGGTTGAAGTTTTAGTCATCACCAAATATCAAACAAGTATTATAGGACAACAATAAACGTTTTTATATCAAAAATCACAACACTAAAAAGTACGATTACCAGAAAACACGGGAATCCGAAACTTTTAACCATTCGTGTTTCAGTTCTTTCCTTAATAGACGACGAGATTTTCCAATTTTCAAAGATTTGGCTTTAGATTCACTTTCTAACTGGACGTCGCTAGGGTCGGGATCATTCTGGAGCGCTTGCAGTTTTTCAACTTCGAAATCTATATCATTGTTTCGAAATAAACTAACATATTGACATAAGTCGGATGAAAATAAATATAAATTGATTACCATTTGATTTCACTGCATAATGAGTTAGATTTATCAATAATTGAAATCCTTTACATAAGTAGACTGTAAACCTCATAGTTGTAAATTTACCTATCCAAAAGTGCCAATGAACCGGGAACACACAAATATTTGGGGGGAGGGACTTGCTTTTTCTTCTTCAAAATGCGGTCCGTTTTTCGTACATAGTTACTGGATTGTGCGTAACTCGAAGCTAGTTCAGTCATTAGCAATAACCCTAAAAAACGTTTGTTAGGTAAAAGAAATCATTAACAGTCACATGGTATAGGTGTGTGTATTAAGTCACACTGATAGAACTAGCTTTTCATTGGGAAATCGATAAGCAGACAGTCAAACAAGCGTAGTATGAACTCATAAATGTTAATGAAAAGTGACGAGACGATTTGGTTATTTGTGTACAAGTGAGTACTACCATTCTTTTATGATTGAATGTATTCCTTCTAAGAAAGCAAACGGTATACACACAAACTGCAACAACATAGAATTAAGTTTCAAACAAATAATGAATGATATAGCATAATAAAAACCGAAAATACGAAGAAAAATATGGTGAATAGTAATTTTAGAACCAAATACTTAAATATTTAAGTTGAACAAAGGTCTAGTGAAAAGTGCTGTTTCTCATGTTCACTCGTTACGAGAATAGAACAAAAATATCAACAATGTAAAGTGTAAAAGTCAATTTTATATCACTCACAAAAAGCAAAGACGAAACTCAGTCACAGAAAACGGTGAATGCATTGTCAAATAAAACCCGACCATCAAATATTCTTGTCTCACAGATTGAATATCTATAATCTATAGGTTAAGAACTAGCCTTAAATGTTTCTACATATCACAGATTGAAATCATGAGTCAGTTGAAGCTAGACCACCATTGAAAACCTGGAAGCACTGGACGGCCGTTTCATCCTAGTATGGGACTCCTCAGCAGTGCGCATCCACGATCCCGCACCACGCGGGGCTCGACTGACTCATGATTTCAATCTGTGAAATTTCTAAAATCTCCACAAAACCCATTCTGGTTTCTACATATATTTACCAAATTATCACATCAACCCCTACATCGAATTTCCAACTAACCATATTTTCTAAACTTAAGAGAGGTTTGAGTAATGATAGTTCTGTTCATCTATACGATTTCCAGCGCCATAAAACCGATAATTGAGAGAATGAATGGGTTTGCAGAAAGGACTAGCTAGTTAAGAGATCAGAAAGTATGTATATCGAGAATTGAAAGCAGCAAAAAACGAATTTTCGTGAGAAAAAAATTAGAAACTTAGAACGATATTGGGTGTTTGCAAATTAGGTTCCATTCCTAACGTTATTGTAGAGTATAAGAATGACAGTGCTTTGCATAAGCAACTACTACATCCGGTGGGACCTTTCCACCAAACCTAACGACACTTTAGATCTCATTCTCGAAAATCACGTATCTAGACTTTCATACAGCAAACAATGAAAATTTCATTGAAACTATGAACCGATCTAAGTTAGAACATTGAAAACCTTAAAGCACTGGACAGCCAATTCGTCATAGTACAGGACTCTTCGGAAGTCCATACTCACGATCCTGCACGCGGAGCTTCAATCCAGAACTCCCAGTTTTGAACGCGAACGTCTAATCTCCAGACCAATTAGCCGGCATTCAAAAGTGGTTCAACGTAGATCGGTCCATGATTTGGATGAAGTTCAATAACCTGCACAACCCAGTACAGAAAACGGAAATTTGGTCTTTCAACACAAGAAAATGTTGACGAAACACAGTCCTTGATCTGGAGCAGAGTAAAGTACATATAATTTAGCAGAATTGATGGGCCATTATTTAGTCATTTGAGAGAAAGTTTATTAGTTGCAATAGTACTCTACAGTACTGAGTGATAATTCCACACCAACTTAAAATTTTAGACTTCCAACCATAAATAACTGTATTTCATGGGAGTTTATTTATTTAATTTTTGTCAGCAGCTAGATTTAACTGTATAAGTACATACTACATATCTCTAATACTATGAAAAATTCGAACTAGGTCAAATGTGTGTGATTTAGACTTTCATATTCTACTAATCACTATTCAGATCATAATTACTGTAAAAATTGCTTTAATGTTATGTTTACAAAGAAGTTTAATTTGAAACATTTCTTTGAAAATTTCCTTCCTGACATACTAAAGTAAGTTTTGGAAACTCGGACTGATACTCAGTAACAAGCTTTTACGTTAACCGGCTAATATCAAACACTTGACACTTGAGGAAGAAGCCGAAGGAGGAAGTTTAGGGTTGAAAGTCGATGCAGGAGGAATAATAGGAATTGAAGAGGAAGGTTGATTATGAATACAGTGGTCCTGGGTACTGTTAGAGGTATGAGGGCGGTTATCACTTCCCGGTTGCCCACACCGTGGGAGGGCTCTTCTGGAGGTACCTGAAAAGGAAATTGGATTAGAGGCGGTCTCAGCCACCTGAGAGCGTGACCGCAGTGCCCAAGGGACAACTGCTTTAGGCCGGTCGCGCACGGCCTTTTCGTGGAAGGTTTTTGACGTGTTAGCTCCGTTCTTCAAAGAGCCTTACCGCCGGAGACGGAAATCCGTGAGGTAAGGTGAGGTGTGCATTTTTAGGGTCGACCTTTTCTAACCCCACCCCACCCCTCCTTGTGGGAAGGCAGCATCGCTGTCATGCTGGTTGTCTGAAGGAAACACCTTACTGCTGTCACACCTCTGTACCGTCAGCAGTACGACTTCGCCTTCGGACCTTAGGTTTGTTGCTTTTAGTCTTACCGCTCTTCAACCGACCTGTCTGACATGGTAGGACCTTGAGGAACGGTTGTTCCAGCCAGTATAGCTCGGTCGCTTCATCACAATAGGCAAGCCCGACCACCACGTCAAGGTAGCAACAACGGTCTGGATCAAACAAGCACACTTCATCTTTGACACACCGTTACCGATTAGTATTACGAAATCGCTGGCTTTGTATCCCAATAGTCAAAGGATCTAAATGGTTGATACTGAACAACTTCAAAGACTTAAATCACACAAAGGGCCTACTCCACTATACGTTTCCCTTTGGATACTTAATGTAGTGATGATACCTACTGGGACTTGAACCGAATCCCGATAGGATATCATCGTAATCTCAACACTTTCACTACCGAATAAACATGTTACAAGTGAGTTTTGTGGGGAACATTTGGTGAGCACAAAATATTGTATTACAGCTGCAGACAAAAAATTTAGAGTTCTGACCAATTTTTAAGGCTCAGACAATACTGTCAGTGTACTGTAAATCATCTATGTAAACCTTAAGTATATTACCAAATACGTCAAGAACCAAAAACGCTCATTTAAAATCATGGAAGGTATAATCATCTGACTTGGAGCTTATCCAACGTCAAACCAAGATACTGAGTATCCAGCGCATCATGGTGAATTTTAGTGAAAGCATTATTAGATACTGTAAATTATGACTTGAACTGGGATTCAGAGTTAGATAGGAGAGTTTAGGACTAAAATTCAGCGTTAAGAAGTAATATTTATGATATGAAGAGAGCCTATGGTTACGACTTAAGAGTTTGGGAGAAAAGGTTAGGTCGAGTTTAGTGTTAAAATATAGATCAACTGCAAAACCAACTGAGACTTTAAAGACTGGTTGTGTTCATGATTAGAGTTTATGAGTCATGATAAACATAAACCCTAAATAACAGCTCGAACACCAATCCTGGCCGTAAAATTTAACGGCCAATAACTTATGACCAACGTAGCAATGTTCATAAATTATGTGAAGACAGTAAATCCCATGTTAGATTTTCGATTTATTATAGTTTATTTATTCACATTCTCTCCTAACTCCTTGGTTAAAACAGGTAAAAATCTCAGGGCTACAGGAGAGTATGGTATATAAACGATTATTCGATTATGAGGTCAGCACACATAAAATTACCCACAAACACGTAAATTGACTGTTCCATTTCCTTAATGTTGTGACCGACACACAGTAAACATTCCAGTTTTTATACTATAGGTATAGTATCATGAGCTGACTGTCAGATTCTATTATCTAACAGAATTCGATAGGACTGATCTCCTGTGGGATATCATACAAAATCCAAGTTAGAACCTCGCAATTTCTGCGTAGTGGTCAACGACTGGGACTCGCCAGAAGTAGTGGCGTCATATCCGTCAGGAAGGAAGCTTAAGAAATAAAAACCAGGAATCACAAAATGCAAGCATCTACTTGTACTTAAATCACTAAGACGGATACTGTGCAGGGGTTTATTAACATTAGCTTGATAAAAGTACTGGCTTAAAGCTAACAGTAGGCCCGCGGAAATGTTTACCGAATATACTGGAATGAGTAAGCATCATTTGGAACTGGAACATTGATTAGAAACACTAAATTTGTGTTCAAAACATGATCTACAATAAAATAGCTAGTTCCAGTTGGTTATGTGGGAACAAATAATAAAGATAAATTAATATATTCTTTGTGTAAAGTCCACCCTATGTATGTTTGCGTTCATCTTGAAGGTACCTTGAGTACTGGAGGAGTGTGGGGAGCAGTATTTGAGAGCATGTGGAAAAAATATGGACACCTGAGTCGGTCGAAAAAAATCAACAGGCAGTTGTAATACGTGTGATCAGCAATCACTGAAAGGCGAAGAAGACCTGAAACCACAACAAACAATGTTAACTTCACAGCACGAGAGAACACGGAATTTAAACCACATGTATTTTATTTGAAAATTAAAATCCGCGGTCCATGTACAAAAGGAATGGATAGTCTACAAAAGAGTCGGTGATCGAACGAGGAAAATATCGAAAGGGTCTTGCCAGGGATGATGGAATTCAATTCAACTCCCGAACGATGTCATAGGGGGGACGTGGCCAGATGCGATCCTACACTACGTTTGTATTACGCAACCTACGACGACCTCAGGATGATGTGATAACTGTGCACTACAAACAAATAAAACCAGATCGAGTGACAGTCCCCTCTGATGCTCGATTCGCCGATCCACCTCCTGTCACTAGGTTTCTTGAGACACCACCAGGAGATGTTGAAATCACCATGTATGATGTTAATGGATTCTGTTTTCTTTCTATTGCAATGTGACCAAGGATAAAAGCTTTGAAGGGAGAAGAAGAGCAAGCCCTGTGTGTGCTGAACTTAGGAAACGCCTCAGGGGTATCGCCGACTGACAGACGTTGCGAGCACTTGAAGGTTAAA